TTCTTTGGAGAATAAAGAAATGCCTAATCTTAAAGAAGAGTCATTCAGAGCATGGCCAGTTTCAGAAAGCCTTGGCTGGCAGTAGTTAGGAAGGCCAGGGGTTGCCCAAGAATGCCAAGCTTCTTGGTGTTACCAGCTGAATGGTGTCACTGAGCACCTGCCCATGTGTTTGAGAGAGTACTTATTAATGCACTGGCTGGAACTTAATCAAGATCACATGAAGTGTTAATACCACTTTACAATGCCTTGGTAAGGCCATACTTGGAATACTGGTCACCATGATGTAAAAAAGATGTTGAAACTCTAGAAAGAGTACAGAGAAGAGCAACAAAGATGATCAGGGGACTGGTGGCTAAAACATATAAGGAACAGTTGCTGGAATTGGGAATGTCAAGTAGTCTAATGAAGAGAAGGATGAGGGGTGACATGATAGCAGTGTTCCAATATTTCAGGGGCTGTCACAAAGAAGAGCGAGGAATGACGCAGATATGAAAACAGAACAGAAGAAATTATAAGATGAATCAAGAATAACAAGAATAAGTCACCCAGAGTTGTTCAATGTTGAGATGGGCAGCATACAAATGTAATAAATAAACGCACAGTGCTTACAGAAATGAATCTCTTTCTTTGCTTCCATCACATCCATAGAAAACGGAGCAACATTATTGGAAACTGAATTGAATATATATACTAGTTCTTCTGGGCTGCTGAACAATTTTTGGTGTCATGAATCATGATAATTGTTCTAGAACATCTGGAAGGCCAAACCTATCCTGCTGCAGGCTCCAGCCATACATTAACACAGAATCTTGGATGATTATCAGCTGAAGATATTTCAGTGAAACAAGTGATGTAAACAAAGCTGAGGCTTGCCTGCAAGGCTTGCTTTGAGAATGGGAACATGCTGAAGAATTGTCCAGGTCACAAATGAAGGCGAAGGTCAGTTCAGTTCAAGGATTTAGAGCCAGATCAAATCCAAAGATTAGAGATTCAAGAAGCAGAATCCACACACGAATACCATGCACAAGCTAGATGTCAGACATTGTTTCTAGCAAGGAGAACAAAGGCAGAGTAGATTCTTTTATAGACCTCAATCAGCTGTCAAAAATAGAAATATTTACTTCTTTACTTGGTGAGAAGTCTAATAGACCTCTATTCTGCTCTCCCCTCCACTCACTATGTCTGTGAGCTGGAAGGTCTTACGTCCTCCTCTGACTCTTTGAGTTGCTCAGGTGTTGCTTGTGTTTAATTGGCCTCATGTGATTTTTCCTGAGGCTGCATACCTGAAGCTTCTTCTCCAGAATCTCAGTCCTGAGCTTGATAGTTCATGTTCTTCCTGTCAGGACTGATATTTCATACTTACGCTATTGACTGGTGCTGTACCATATAATCCCATCTTGTCTCCATGCTGCTTGACATGTACATGAAACCAGAGGGATGATCATTTAGTGATTTAAACTGGTTCACTATCAGTATGCTGATATTTCCCTAATCGAACTCCACCATCGAACTCCAAGTGTCGGTATTCTAAAATATTGCTTAAGTTTCATGATAGGCTGGATAAAGATGGATGTACTGCTGGTGTTAGCCCTTTGAGGTAGTCCACGCAAGAAGCACAACCAGGAACATCAACACTATCTTTATTGTAATGTTACATTAAAATGTTGCAAGACTCAAAGTATTTCTCCCCTCCTCTCTTGAGACTCCAAAAATTAGGGAGGGCCCCTTCTGAGATGCTTCCCATGGTTTTCTCCCACCTGCAGACTGAGCTATTCTTATAGGTATTAAGAGTATTGTCTGGGTTGCAGATCTTCCTCTTGCCTACCAAAGTCATTCCCATAATCCATTACACCAGATTAGTAAGAAATTGGATTCAAAGATTAAATCTGTCCTGAATATTGATGCCAACATTTTAAGCCCAAATCATTTAAGGTCTCTGTGAAGAACTTGTTTGAACAGGCTCTTTTGAAGATGTCCCTACTTTGAGAAACTTCTCTTATCCTGTAGTAAGGTTCTTCTATTGAATCCTTTCTAGGCTATGAAGTGCATTCTTTCTGGAGCTGGACTGTATTGTATTTAAAAAAATCTTTAAAGACATCTATTTAACCAGGCCTCTAATCCCAGAATGTTGGAGTTGAAAGGAAGTTTATAGGTAAATTCTAGTCCAACCCTTTGCCTAGTGCACCAGAACTCCTTGGATGGTCATCCCACCCCTATTTGGATACTTCCACAAGCAGAATTATTTACTCCTGTTCTAGGCAGCTTGTTCCACCACTTAATAGTTCTTCTACCAGGAAAGTCCTTCCAATATCCAGCCTTTTTTAAAATTTCAACTTGTTACTGCTTGTTCTGCTTTGGCTTGAACAGAAAACAAGAGTTGCAATTATCATCTTTTCTTTTGCAAGCTATAAGTTCTGCTCCTTCAACCCTCCCCAAAGCTTGGATTCCAACCTCCTTATCATCTTGATACTTCTCCTCTGAAATGTTTCCAGCTTCTGCATTGTAATTTTCAAGGATGGTGCTCAGAACTGAAGAGTGCTCCTACTGCAGAAGAGCCAAGACAGATTATAATGGAGCTCTTATCTGCCATGACTCTTTGATGGCCATTTATTTTATTATCCGTGTTTTGATTTACTTGGTTTTTTTTAACTCTGTGTGTTTTGTTTGACGTTTAAGTTTTCTTGAACATTTATTTTCCACAGAAAAGTGGCACATCAAATAAATAAGATAAATAAATGATAAGCCCTATTTCCTTTTCATTTACGCCATAATTTTTATTTATTATTGTGGTTTTTAGTATCGCCTGTTCACCGCCCTGAGTCCCGTAAGGGAGATAGGGCGGTATATAAATTTAATAAATAAATAAATAAATAAATAATTTTTAACTTGCATTTCAATAAACCAGAGAATCTAGATCGAATATTCCAGATGTTCCTGTTTCTCAACTCCCAACGTTCTTCACCACTGACAGTGGGGAAAGTTGTTGGGAATTGTGATTGTGACAATGAGCTTCTTGGGAATTTGTGATTCAGTAGCATTTCAAGCAACACTAGTTCCTTACCTCTGTAATAAGTCTTTGTACAAGGAAAGAATTCATCAGATTTTACAGGTATCTTCATTACATGCCAAATCTAATCAATAAAACTAGAGGGTGGAGGATTAGTTTATAAAGGAAGGGGTGTTTATTTGGCACATATGCTGTCATGTACATATGTTATTGCACTGGCAAAGTCTAGTCCCAAAGATTGAGCTACCTCTATTTAGAACAGTAAGTAGCAGATGTTTACACGAAACAGATGCTGGTATTGTAATTTCTCATTGATAATTGCAATGTCTGTAATCTCACCAGCTGTGTTAGTTTCAGGGTTTCATATCCTATATTAAAGGGTACATGAAAATGTATGAGAGAATGAAGTTGAGAATATTAATGTTAATTAGCCTAATTCAAGATGAAACAATATCCTCAAAGAAGGGTTGGGTGGCTCGTTCTAAATCTGTCTGCTCTCTTTATCTTAGCCAGTAGTCCAAAGAAGCTATTTAAATCTATCTGCTTGCAGGGTACAAATTCAAGCATTTTTTTATGTTATCATTGTTCATGAATGATTTAAATTAATAATAAACAAGCTGTTGTTGCTGTAACATTTTTTGTAAACATTCCTCTAATACATGGAAATGTTGAGGTGGATACTAGCAAATTCCATAAATGTCCAATGGTACTTCAGTAGTTTCAGTGGATTTTTGGAGTTCAAGGAATTTTGATTGAAAAGAAATACTTATACCAGTCCTAACTAGCTTAAGTGAATTTTTTGTTTGGACATGAACATTTTATTACTGTAGGTTTTTCTCTAGCTGTTCGCCCCACTTCATTAGGTTATCACTTGGCAGGAAATTTCTCCTGTTAACGCTGCACAAACACTAACCTATTTCAAGTACTAATCACCCAATATTTCTCCTCCACACAATAATTTATAAGCTTTGCCACAGGAGATTGTGTCCTGCTTTTCTTTTTATAAGATGGAAGAGATAAAATTCAGTGGTTGGGTGAAAAAGTAAATTCTCTTCAAAGAATTTTTAAAACTCTTGGAAAAAAAATCAACTTTATAGAAACATGGTGCATTATAGGAAAGAATTGTATAGCCTTATTTTCTGTTTGCTTTCAAGTTACAATTCTAAACACCAGAAAGCAATCTGGAAGAAACTGGGGAGATAGTTGGCATAGTGTTTAAAGTGTTGGAATATGTCTGCAAAGATCCAACCACGCTTACCATGAAAACTCATTGGGTGACTTTGGGTGAGTGATTCTCTCTGAATCCAAACCTATTTCACAGGATTATTTATTGTGGGGATAAAATGAAGTGACATTCCAGTATATGCTGCCTTAAGTTCCTGGTCAGTGGGGGGAAAAAGAGAAATAAATGTAACAGGGGGGAAAAAAGCCAAAATGCAGTGAGGAAAAAAAGAATAATTTAACAGTAACAAAACATTTAGCTGAAGTATTGAACAACACTACAAAAGCATTAGTTTGAGGGACAATGCATTCCAATTTCAAATACAATACGAATAGTAGCATATTTATTGCATTATGAACTCGCCATCCGGAAAGGATCCAGAGTAGCCTGAGAGAGTTAGTGACCCAAGCACCCAGGGGCTTTTTGAAGAACTATTAGGTTGTGATTGTTGTCACTGTAACCCTTGCAGGGTTTGTTGTTTTTGCAGGTTAATTTCAGAAAAAATAACATATGTATTTATTTATTTGCAGGCATTTGTATTCTATGCTATTCCAAGTGTCGAGCATTCCGATATTAAAAACATAAAACATACAGCGATACATAAAAATGACAATAATCATATGGGCAGCTTGCTCAATAATGGATTAATTCCTGGATTCACTCTCACTGGAGGTGGAAGACTGGCATCAGATAGGGCGAGGGTTGGTGCAGGCCTTGTCTCTGTGCGCTGTCTTCTCATGGCTTGCAATGCATCTGCTTTTTCTTTTGCAGATGGTGAGCGACTGGGAGAAGAGACAGACCCTGGCAAGCGAGCAGCTGGGGCCCATGTGCCCTCTCCTCACAGGAAGGCTGAGGACTCCAGTGAGAGCCGGGAGGAAGAGCAGATGGTAACTTAATTTGTGCCTGGCTTTGTGCTTTTTCTCTTTGTTGCTTATTGAAAAATAAAGATTTCTAATAATGTTTGTTTGGGAAGTAGATTGCTAGAATAGTAGGAAAATACTGTAGGGAAGTGATTCTTCCTGATTCCAGTATGCTTGGGGAAGGGGAGGGATATCTATGAGGAAGTGTTTTGAGGTATGAGCATGATATAGACATCAGTTAGAAAGCCAGCAGTGCCACTGCTAGGAAGACTATATCAATATTAAACAGGAACATATGTTAATGGTGTCTAGATGAACTATTTGGGATCCACAGGGGATTACTTTGGATTAGCGAAAAGTTGTCCGAAAAAAAAATGTTTGCTAAATACCCCGAAAAAGGGGGATGGTATAGTCCAGTGATGGCGAACCTTTTAGAGACCAAGTGCCCAAACTGCAACCCAAAACCCATTTATGCATCGTCGGGTGCCATGTGGGTGTGGCCCATTGGCTGGGTTTGGCCCATTGGCTGGGTGTGGCCCATTGGGTGGGCATGGCTGCGGTGGTAAAAGTTTAATCAATTCCAACTTTGCAAGATTTTTTTTTCCGCAAGAAGTTGAAATTGACTGATTGATTGAACCGTTTTTTCCCCTTTTTTTGCACATGGCGGCAGAGGCCTAAAGCAAAAAGGTTTTATAAAACCCAGCTGAAGGCCTAGGACTGGGGCAATGGCGCATGTGCCCACAGAGAGGGCTCTGAGTGCCGCCTCTGGCACCCGTGCCATAGGTTCGCCACCACTGGTATAGTCATTGGGCTCTTATTTCTAGAGTTTCTCTGTTTCTCTGAAGTTATGTATAAGTAGATGGATGGTGTTCCATTTCTCCTCCATGTCTGAGTTTAGGTACAGCCAGAAGATTAGCCCCTGTCATTACCTGCTTCAAAAGTTCTTGGTGCAAAGAAGAGTCTAACCTTCTCCCAAGCTTAGAGACCAAAACTCTTCCTCACCTTCTGAAGGTGCAGTGCTTTGGACTCTGATTTTCTCTAGAACTAAAGAAAATCAAAGACACTTTCCAACCTCAGACTGACTAAGTTCATATATCATTATAAACTATTACTTGTTTTGGTAACAGCTTGTTGAATAAGATACAGTGGCCAAATCCACTTGCTATGCTAAGCAATAAACTATTTTTTAAAAGCCATAGTTTCTGGGTTCTCACATCATGGCTTAGTACAGTATATAAGAGAGCCAGTTTGATGACGTGGTTAACGGCACAAGGCAAGAACCTGGGAGACAGGGGTCCTAGTCCTGCCTTTGGTGCAAGTTCAGTGACTTTGGACCAGTCATTCTGTCTCAGCTCTAGGAAGGAGGCAGTGGCAAAGCATTTCCAAAAATCTTGCCAAGAAAAATGTAGGGACTTACCTAGGCAGTTGTCAGGAGGCAAGACTGACTGGAAGGCACACACAAAAAGCCTAACCATGTCTTTAAAAATAATGAGAAAACAGTGAGAAATTGTATTACTGTACTCTGTGAAGCCAGTGTGGTTGAAGGAAGACTTTCTTCTCTAGGATGTTAAGAAGGGCAGGGGTTATTAGGACTACTGTCAAGCTGTCAGATGCAATTACAGACCCCTGCAATATTACACAGTCAGTGGGAACTAAAATACAAGCCTGCCTTGGTTTTACTGAGGTATTGATATATTGTCTGAAAGTCAGTGACACCTGGCTTAGACAGTTGGCTAGAGTTTTGCCCTGGTTAATAGTGGTTTAGAAGGATATTTCAGGCTGTTGCATTTAACGTAATGTAGTCCAGCATGATTAATAATCTGTACAGATGTGTTCCTGACCTCCAATATTAACATTTTCCATGTTGTTATTCCCCACCCCCTGGGAAATTTTCTCTAATAATGGTTTGTGGCTCTTGCAAAGGGTGGGGAAGCGGGTTGGTTGCTGAGGTCAAGTTCCGTGACAATTTTTAAAATTGGAGTTAAAGTAATTGTGACATCAACATCCCTTAAGAAATATCTTTGTGAATGAAAGAGACCCAGACTATAACATACTGGAGAGTTTTTTGATTTTTTTTTTTTTTTTGGCTGGGAGGATTATTCTTTAAGCAGCAATTTACTGGGCTTGGCAGCTGGCACTTAATAGCTGAAGGAAAAATTAGCAGGGCTTTTGTCTGCTGAAGTTGCAGAGCTACCTTATTAAGCTGTCTCATAAGGCTGGTTAAGAGAAGATATTAACACTCCTGTAGAAAAGAATACCTGTAGTTCAGATATCTTTGGTACTCTCTGAATTTGGTTGTTTGCTTGCAGAGCAGTGGTGGGATTCAGCCGGTTCGCACCAGTTCGGCAGAATTGGTAGCTAATTTTTTGTTGCCCAGTCCCACAATGGACTTCCGGAAGCAGCATCCACACAGAGAACCGCTTGTTCACATATCTGAATCCCACCACTGTTGCAGACGTTTCATTCATTAACTAATGGAATGTCTGTAAGCAAACAGCTAAGTATAGAGGAGCACCAAGGACTCCATTAAAGCTTTATCATAAAGCAGCTGTTAGCACGTTGCTTTATGATAAAGCTTTGGCTCTACCAGAATTGTTCTTTACCCTGGCTGGAAACAGTAAGCAAATTGGCACAGAAAGAGCTTGATCTGAAAGGGAGGGAAATGATTCCGTGCCTGCCAGTGATAACTTCCCTTGTGATGATGATAGTGGTGACTATGTGAAAGGCATCAGCGCCTCAGAATACAGGTCGTCCTCAACTTGCGGGTAATCCTCGACTTACAACAGTTCATTTAGTCACCGTTCAAAGTTACAACGGCACTGAAAAAAGTGACTTATGACCGTTTTTCACAGTTACGACCTTTGCAGCATCCCCGTGATCATGTGATCAAAATTCAGGTGCTTGGCAACTGGTTCGTATTTATGACCGTTGCTGTGTCCCACAGGTCATGTGATCACCTTTTACAATGTCAATGGGGAAGCCAGATTCACTTAACAAGCAGGTTACTGACTTATCAAGTGCAGTGATTCACTTAACAATTGTGGCAAGAAAGGGTTGTAAAATGAGGCAAAGCTCACTTAACAAATGTCTCACTTAACAACATAAATTTTGGGGTCAATTATGGTCATAAGTCGAGGACTACCTGTAGAAGAGAAAATATTGACAAAGTTGGGTGAGAAGTAATGCAGAACACATAACATAAGCTCAAGAAGAGTATTGTATGATACGTGGCCATGTTACGTGGACACAAATCCTAATTAAGTCCCCTGCATGAGCAATAACATTTAACAGTATGTTGATTACGTGTCTTTAGAGATAAGGGCAGAATATGACCTAAAACAGTGGTTCTCAACCTGTGGGTCGGGACCCCATTTGGGGTCGATCGACCATTTCATGGGGGTCGCCAAGTAAGGCTGTCCGCCATTTTTTTTGTCCGCCATTTTTTCCCCCTTTTCCAGCGGGTGCCTTACCTCCCTTGGGCTGGGCCAGCTGGTGGTCGGCCTGCTCTGTCTCTGCCGCTTGCCAGCTACGCCTCGGCCAGCGCAGGGGGCGGAACCACACATGCGTGGTGCTCCCGGGCAGGGAAAGTCCTCGACTTACGACCGGTTGGGTAGTCCTCAACTTACGACCGGTTTAGTCCTCGACTTAAGACCGGTTTAGTCCTCGACTTACGACCGGTGGGGTCGTGGCATTAAAAAGGTTGAGAACCATTGACCTAAAAGGTATGTACAAATCCATGCAGAAGCATGTCTCTCGCAGCAGTTGGCATGAAAAAAAAAAATAAAACCCAAAAAAGTACAGTTGCTGTCATTTTACTAATGACTTAATCATTTTTGTAGTCCTTAATTTTGGCTGCCTTGTTAGGATGGGAATTTTGGAGCATGTGGCTTTAAAACGTGGTACGCCTAAGCATACTGACTTTCTGATACTCCATCTAATATCATGGACAGTGCCTGTAAGAGTTTCCAGTTCAGATCATGTTTCCCAAAGGCGTTCCTGCATTTTCCCAATGCTTTTTCAGTCATTTTTCTGCTGCAAAAGAATCAGACTAGCTTCATAATCTTTCTGATTGATAGCACTATGAATTGTTCATTTAGAAACAATATTTGGCTAGACTGCCCACGGAGCTGTGAACAGAAACCAAAACTCTTGAAAGCCAGTTTATCTCTAATAGTACATTTTGTGGAACAAATATTCCAAAGCTAAAGTATGCAGATATTTCATAGTTAATTAACTATGCATATTTGAATTAAATTGCCAAGTTATATATGACATTGGCTTTTCAAAGAATCTGGAATGTTGTTTCACTAAATATATGTATTTCAGTAGCAGATATATATACTCAGGATTAGGATTAGGAGCTTCCTGCTGTGATATCTCCAGAGAGATTGCAGTTTGTTTGTTTGTTTTTTAAATGAACAGTTTTATATCTTCTTTGCTCCCCCTTTGGATGCTATTTAGAATTAAGGGAGCACCTCACTGTGTATTGCAGCTTTTCTTCAGCCCAGGAAAGAAGCTAGCATGAGAGATGATATTGTGTGGAGGAGCAAGAAATACAAGAACCATCCACTGGAAGCAGCGATGGCCTCCCCTTGAGTGACTCCAAGCAACATTTCATGGAATCAAGCCTTTGTACAGACCACACAATATTTCTTTACCTTCAAGCTGCCAATGTTACACTGTAGAGCCTCACCCAGGCTCTTCTGAATTCCAGGCAGCAATGTAACATTGTTGGCAGATTTATCTTGCAATGCGACCACAAGCCTGGATTCAGAATCATGGCAGCCAATAAATTAGTTAAAAAGTTGGTCAGTCACAAGATTAAATTATGGGCTAGGACAGGGGTAGGCAACCGTGGCTCTTTTATGACTCGTGGACTTCTGGGAGTTGAAGTCCACGAGTCATAAAAGAGCCACGGTTGCCTACCCCTGGGCTAGGATGATAGAGTACTGAAATTCCCACAGTGGAGGAATGAATTGTAAAATGGGCAGAATTGGCTGAAATGACAAAATTAATCTGTTTGTCAA